TTGTGAATAGTTTAGATGCTTTATTTTATATTAGATGTGTATATGATAATAGTTCAAATTTGGATGCAATAATATGTTTTGGTTGATATTTGAAGATTTTTATATTAGGAACCTTGCATTATAAAAATTCATTAAAATAATTTACAAAAATATTTATTTCATACTATATATTATTGGTATTATAACTTTATTTTAGATTATTAATATATATATATAATTTATAAAATTAAATTGTGCAACTGATAATATTATTTTGAATAAATTATTGAAGTAATAAAAAAGTGCTTTATTGAAATTCTTTAACATATCTTAATAATTTTAGCAAAAAGATAGAAATTTATTGTATAATAAGTTTAACTAACAAATGTATTAAGTTTTAATAATGAAAAATATATTATTATAGACATTTAAGATTTAATGAATGATTATATTATAACTGTTGAAATGAGTTGTAATAATAGATATTGATGTTCGTAACAACTAATAGCAAAAATATTCACCATTGAAGTTATTAGTGAATGATAGTTTTTTTTTTTTTGTTCTGATTGTATATTAGAACAAATTTATAAGATAATGATAAAAATCTTCCATCATTATATGCTCTTCTTTTGTTTTGTATGTTATGTACTTTTGGTCATCGAGGGAGTAAAAAGATAGGAAAAATGTTTTTTATAAAGGTATGGGTTAATAAAGAGACTAAGAAAGGATTGTAAGTGCTCATGAAGAAAGAAAAGAGACATTTTATAAGGTTGCAAGGTGAGAAAACAAGTAGGATTTTGATGAGACAGATAGATTTTTTGAATTTTGGTTCGAGTTATGCCTATGATTGTTCAAATTCCGATCCTAAATAAACCTGACCAAATATCAACCAAAAAAGTCAATATATTTTAATTAAGTATTTTGATTTAGATCGAAAATGTAAAAATTAAAAAAAAAATAGTTTTCATTTGTTGGCTTTAATTTTAGGTTAAATTATTAATTTAGTTCATAAACTCTAGTTTATATTTTCTTTATTAAGGACATTAATTTTAAAATTTATTAGAAAAATTAAAATTTATTTGAAATAAAAAGAAAGACTCTCTATCCTCTCTCCCTCTCTTTCTCTCCTCTTCTTCACCGAGAAGCTCTCTCCCTTTTGCATGCCAATCGACAACAGGATATTTCACCATTTTCTTAAACAATCCATAACAACAATGCTTCAGAGTTTAAGGATTTAGGAAATATAAGAAGATTTCACCATTTTCTTCAACGATCCACAGTAACAATGCTTCAAAAATAACAAGCACAAAGAGAAGCTCCAAGAGTGGGAAGAAGAAGCAGGTTTGCATATAGAAAACATGAGAATATAAAAAGTGGTTGCTGTAGGGGTGAAGTCAGAGAAAGAAACGACAGGAAAAGCCATTTTGCACGGATTAAGAAAGCTCGTTGGACCTGTAAACCTACAAAAATAAATAAGACAAAGAGGAAAAGGAGGACAACTCTTATAATAGGAAATCTCTATTGGCTTCCACTCACCGGCCAACATAGATTTCCTGGTGGCAGAAGCGAGAGGTAGAGAAGAGGCAGCTTTGCATATTTATTAATATTATATATATATATATATATATCATTTAAAAAGAACAAGGAGGGCAAGAGAGAAGCCGAAGAAGGCTTACTAATTTTGAACACAAAATATTAATATTATATATATATATATATACGTATATCATTTAGAAAAATTGTATCTATTTCAATATCATGGTAAGTTTGAATCAATTTTTGGGTGTAGTCGAGTTATGCATGTTTAATTTGGATTCGGGTCGAGAAATGAAAACTTTAAAATTCTGAATGGCTTGTATGAGTTTTTAATATAAGAAAGAAAATATACGGTTTGACCATTTATATTTTTGTATATTTTTTAAGAATATTTATTTTTTACTTGACCCCCTTATTTATAGGACCACGTATGTTTTTTTAAAAAGGATTATATATATACATGCACATATTTTATATTAAAATTTGAAAATTGACCAATAATAATTTAAATTAATATGATTTGGAATTTAATATAGGGTACAAAATTTTAGGTGTTTGTATTAGCTATGAGTTAATTGATTCCTTGAAAGGTAATTTTGTCATTTTCTAATAAACAACTTTTTATAAACTAAATTTTTGTGAGAGCCCAAACAGTCATGTCTGCATGGTGAGATTTTGGATGGGGGTGGCGCACATGGGCAATGGAAGACTTTGCATGTCTCCTCCACGCGGACTCTGCGCTCTTCCAACAAAACAATTTTGTACTATATATATATATATATATATATATACACACACACACACAACAACAAGAACAACACCAACGACAACCACATTCTCATCTCATACTATATATATATCACGTGACATTAATTCTTCCAACGCCATAATCATTTTTTATATACATATATATATATATATATAAATAGTAAAATGAGAAAATGAGCAAATGAAAAAGATATAGACATACATATATACCGGTGACATAGCAATAATAATGGAACATATGAGAATACGTGGAAGAATGGAAATTATAATTAAATAAATATCACATTTCTAAAGTAGGGATAATAAAACAAAATCGTCAAATTAGGTTGGTTGAATTCAGATTCTTTTAGAATACGTATAGACCCATTACAATGTATTTTAAATTTAATCAAATATATATACACAATTTTCATCCATACATTATATATAAGTCGTAGTAAATCTAGTTATGATGTAAAAAGTAAAACTAAATTTGTCTGAGCTTATCCGAGTTTTATTATTCACCAAGTTTATCTCTAATTTAAAAAAAAAAAAAATATATATATATATATATATAACATCATTATGTGCAGTTACTTTTGCATTGCATGTAATTAATAAAACTGATATTCAGACATTTAAATATTTAACATGCTGTGAAACATTCTAAGCATCCTCTCCCATGTGACAAACCGCTGATTCCCTCCAGCGACTTCGTGTTGCTGAGAGATGTGATGACATACACATATCTGTGCACTGTGGATGGCGACACACTGATCACCTCCAGCTGACTTCAAATCCACAATTGCATGCAGGTGCAATGCTCCACTTCCAACAAACATTCTGAATGGGGTTAAAATTCCACCATTATATTCTAATTATAAATATATTATTCCACTTTAGAGAAACATTTTAAATATATTTTCACTTTTTAATTTTTTTTCTTTAATACAAATTGAAGCAGAGGACTCGTGTGATTTTCTTCTTTATATGTATATAAGAAATGTTAGGTAATTAGTTTATGTTGTCTTAATTAGAAAATTTTAATTTTAATTAAATCGTGTTATTTTTTATAACCTTATAGGATATATTTTATTAGTTTTAAAACTTTCTTTACTAATTATTGGGCTTAAAAATAAATTTACTACTATTAACATTGTAATGATCGTATTTTTATATTATAAGTTTAATACTAATATTTTGTTATCATTTTTAATAAGTGATTCTAATCATTACTATCAATTTACTTTTATTACAGTTTTCATAAATTTTTATTTTAATTATATGATAATAATTATAATTATCTATTTCAATTTTAATATGTGGTTTTACACACTATCATACATATATACATATATATATATAGAGAGAGAGTACGGGCAAAGGTTACAAGATAATCTTTTATTTTTTTTTAAATAATTATAATAATACATGAGATTTAAAATAAATGTTTTATCTTTATATTATTATTTTTTTATTCTATTTGATTTTATACCCTTATTTTATATTAAATTAATCTACATATTTTTTTTGTGAATTATTTGAATTAATTCATTTCTGTCAGTGACTACTGACAACATTAACAACTACGTCACATGTTTACAATTTGAACGTATTTTTTATGTGATGACAAAAATATTAAATAATATTTAAATTATTTATAAAGATATAAAAAAAAAAAAAAAATCAAAATTTTTTATTTTTTCTCTCTCTCATTTCCTCTTGCTTTCCTTATTCTCAAACACAAAATAATAACATATATCAAACATTAAATTAAACAAATTTCTTATAATAAAAACAGAAATTGAAGAGCTCAAAGGACAAGTATTGAAAAAAAATAAAAAATTTAAGATACAATAACAAAAATTAATGAAATTATATTATTGGTCTTTCCTTTTTTTTTAAAAAAAAAAGTTAAGGTGTATATAATTTTTTTATGCTTTTTAAGGCTGATAATTTTAATATAATGTTCTTGATTTATATGTTTAATTGTATGTTGGAGTTATCTGATCAAGAAATGCTCTTAATTTGTAATCTAATTTAAATCAATATTATATTTTTAAAATTATTATATAATTAATTAAATATTTAATAAAAATATAATTTCACATGTAACACTGGATTAAAAATCTAACTAAATAAAAAAATAATAAAAAGTCCCTTGAATTTTGCACATTAAATTTTTTACATTCTTTGGAGACTTCATTCCCCATACAAATAATTTTACATACGTTTTTTTCCTTTGGATACATTGAATTCTTTCCATCTTCTCTTGCTTCACATAAATTAGATAATATATTTTAGTGAGTAATTAATTTCTAATGAGAGATTAGGTATCTAACCTCGTTTAACTAATTTTAATTACCGAATTACTTCACTTATACGTTAGAATTAAACTCGGAAACAAATATTAATTACCAAATTTAATGTTCCACGTTGAAGCAGAACTAATTTGATGTGTTGACACGTTTTACAGAAAGTTGAAAAAAGTGAGACCAGGTGTTACGGTGAGTGAGTGACTCCTCAGACCAGTCAAAGGTCAGACTCCCACACCGTTGCCTCTTGAAATCCGCTGCGCGTAAGCCATGCGCCAACTCCCTCAATTTCTCCCACTCGTGTCTTCCTCTCAGATCTCCATCTGTTCTTCACGTCCCATATAAGCTCTCTCTCTCTATTTCTTCACATATATATATTACAAATAGAAATTCATCGGTGTGGGAGAATAAAGAGAGAAAATAATGAAAGGCCAAGTGGGAGAGAGATTCGGTGAGTTCTACGAGAAGTGGGTTAGTGAGTTAGACGAGTGCTGGCAGCAGTTATTGAGAGTATCAAAAGAGAGAAGCCTAAGCACCAACTCGTCAGGAGAAGAAGAACAAATACAAGCCTTGGTGTCCAAACTCACTGCTCATTACAAACAGTATTACACTGTAAAATGGGTTGCAGCTCATGAGGATGTTCTCGCTTTCTTCTGCCCAATGTGGTTAAGCTCGGTGGAGATAGCTTACTCGTGGGTAACAGGGTGGAGACCTTGCATGATGTTTAGGATGGTGGAGTCAATGAGAAAAACACGTGAGCCAGGACTGAGTCTGGCGGAGATGACGGATGAACAGGTGAAGAAAATGGAGGAGTTAAGAGGGAAGATCAGAATAGAAGAAGAGAGAGTAGAGAGAGAGATGGAGAGATTGCAGGTGGTTGTGGCGGATAAGAAGATGGTGGAGTTGGTGAAGTTGCAGAGGATAAATCAGGTGGAGGCGTTGGTGGAGGTAGCATTGAAAGGGTTAACGATGGGATTAGAGAGGGTAGTAAAGGCTGCAGATTGTGTGAGGTTGAAGACGCTGAAAGGGGTTTTGGACATTTTGAGTCCTCTGCAATGTGTCAACTTTTTGGCAGGGACTTGTTTGGTTCACATTCAGCTTAGACAACAGGGAAACAGAAGAGACACCCACCATGATCAATAGAACTAAAATCTCTCTCTCTATTTATTTATTTATCTTGGGTTTGTTTTCTTAGGATGCGTTTGTGTAATTTTTTTTTTTTTTCTTTTAAATCATTTTAGGTTGTTTGGCTATCATCTTAGTTTTGTCGTGTCTTATATTATATGTGTTTTATCGAAGTTTATTCGACCAAACCCACCCATGATTGTGAGGAAATTTGAAATTGAAGGGTATATGTATATATATATATATATATTTAGAGGGATCGGATCAAAAGAGAAGTAACAAATATGACAATGGTGGTCTTCAAGTCCTGAATGATCGATCTTCTTCTTCTTTCTCCCCACTATTGGCATTTACTTCTCTCTGCATGCTTCTTAATTTGAATTTTTTTACGAGTCAAATATTTGTTTCAAAAAGTTTTGGGAACAAGTAATTAAGATATTTCAAGTCATGATCGATCAAGAGGTGTTCCTGCATGTCGTTATATTTTATTAATTAATTTTGGAAATTTTTTCATAATTCTCAAGTTTATCCTTGTTATTTTGATAATCTCTACTATTATTTGACTGTCATTTATTGTATTACTATTTATATTTATTTAAATTAGATGATAATTAAATAATATTAAAATAATAATGAACTATAATTAAATATTTTAAAAATGTAATCATAAAAGTCTTACAAAATTCTTAAGATTATGACTATCTAATTAGAATTTAAGAACATAAAATATATTAACTTCAAATTTTTTTCTTAAGATAATAGAGCAGCAACTTAATTGTTTTGTACATTTACGAATTTTAAAGAGGGTCGTTAATAGAATATATTTGGTATTTTTAGATTCAGATTAATGTCTTGATTGTTTTTGTCAGTTTTTTTTTTATTTTTATTTGGTATTTTTTAAAAAAAAAGATTTTAATTTAATGCATATTTAAAAAATAATCATCACAAAGTAATTTGATATTTATATTTATATTATAAGTAACTATTAAAATTTATTTCAGGTTTTATGCGATAGAATATGCGACTTCTTTTTTAAAAAAAAAAAAAAATTAGGGCTACAGGTTGCGGTCTTTATTGTGAATATGTATAGAACCCAAGACTTTTCGTTCCCAGATGTCATGCGATTAAATTATGTGATTATATAAAAATTTATGTTACATAAAAGAATTAATTTTGATTGGTCAAAATATTTTATAATTTTTTTTTCTATTTAATTTCTTCATTTAAATTTTTATATTATTGTTTATTTATTTCAATTTTATATTTTAAAATTTTTATTAGTTCAACTCTTAAAATTATATATATAGCTTATGATGTATTAAAATTATAATTCATAAGTAACGAGAAGGTACATGACGTGACAACTACATTAAATTATAAAATTTAAAATTATATTTTGATGAACAAGTAATTATTTTCTTCTTACCACGTACAAGAATTTATTCGCACACGTTTCCTCTCTCTCTCAAGCAACTCCCGTCCATATTTGCACATTGTTTATTTACAACTTGAATTCTTCTTATGTAACGATTTCAGAATTTTAAAAAAAATAAATTATAAATTTAGTAAGAAATTAATATAAATATTTAGAATTTATATTTTTTATACAATAATTGTAAATACTGAATTGGACCTACGAGAATAACTCTTTTAAAAGAATAATTAATAACCAATGAAATAAATTAAAAGTAATAACTAAACGTACTACTCGCAATCTTTTTGTAGATCAGCCTCTAGATCATGATTTTCTTGATCTGAAATAGTTAATAAAAGAATGAGTTATACTAATCCAGTAAGAATATCACGCTACTCACCGACACAGAAATAAAAATTGGTAGAAATCATAAAAACAACTAATAAAACTCTTAATTAAGCAAAATCGTTTATCATAAATAAAATCATTTACCATCTACTTACCATAACATTACAAAAATAACATATAAAGGTAATGACATAACACATATTATAATTTCATATGCAATCAGTTGGAATAACAATTTTCTTTTTTATCAGCTTACTGGTATTTATGTGGGGTTCATAGGGATGTCCCCACAACGTGTGAATAATTTCCTTTGACATTTTCAATTAACAAGCCGTCCCCATACCTCATCCAGTATGAGTGCCAAATTACTAAATCTCGATATCCCATCCAGTATGAAGGTGAAACGAGTCATCTCCATACCTCGTCCAGTATGAGCGCCAAATTACCAAACTTCGATACCCGAAATTGGAGCGGTCCTATATGGCGCAATGTTCCATTTCTACTCCGAAATTGGTAATGGCTGAAATAGCCCGTTTGAGCGTTGATGTTCTGCTTTGACCTGCTGACATACCAAACACTTAGAAACTAAGTCAGCCATATCTCTTTTCATCCCGTTCTACCAAAATTGGGGTCGCATACTTTGATACATCTTGGTACTTCTGAGATGCATGACAAACTTTGAGCTATGGGCCTCTGTTATGATGTCCCTTTTCAACTCACTGTCACTTGGAATATACACCATATCTTAAAATCTAAGTAACCCATCGGCAAAGACTCGAAATTCTGGATTAACTCTCTGTTCTGCATCTTTCTTGAGGCCTGCTAAGGTGGAATGGACAGATTGAGCTTCTTTTATTTTTTGGATCAATTCAGGTTGAACAGTCAAGTGGGCCAAACATGTGACTCTCTTCTGGTCATGAAGTCGTACATGTTGTGTAGCCCCTATTAGCCTGCATTCTGAAACCATCAAGTGAACTAATATACCTGCAATTTTCTTAATGAGTGAGTCGGCTACTATATTGTCCTTACTCGAGTGGTATAAGATGTTGTAATGATAGTCCTTGAAGAGTTATATCCATCTTTTTTTACGCATGTTGAGATCCTTTTGAGTGAATATGTGTTTCAAGCTCTTATGATCGGTATAGATCTGAAAGATCTCCCCATACAAGTAATAATACTAAGTCTTCAAGGCGTGGATATTTGCGACAAGTTCTAAGTCATAGGTGAGATAATTTTTTTCATGACTCTTCAACTGTCTGGACCCATAGGCTATGACCTTCATATACTGCATCAAAATCCAATCCAACCCTAGGTAGGAGGCATCACTATAAACTGTATATCAACCTGATCCACTCGGCAAGGCCAACACAAGTGCAATAGTCAACTGTTTCTTTAGTTCTGAAAAACTTCTTTCACAATCCTCGTTATACTCAAATTTGACGTTCTTCTTTGTGAGCCGAGTTAGATGAGCGGTTAGGTTACAAAATCCTTTCACAAACCTACGGTAATAACCTGTCATCTCCAGAAACCTACGAATTTCTTTGGTTGATGTCAATTTTTTTCAGCCGAGCACGACTTTAACCTTTTTGGGGTTCACTGACACCCCATCTTTTGATAAGATGTGTCTTAGGAAGGTAGTCTACTCAAGTTAAAACCCACACTTACTCAACTTTACATACAACTTCTTCTCTCTGAGAACCTGCAAAACCTGAGTCAGATGACGAGCGTGTTCCTTTCTATTTTTTTTAATAAACCAAAATATCATCGATGAACACAATGACGAATTGATCCAGGAATTGTCTGAAAACTCTATTCATCAAGTCCATGAAGATGATTGGAGCGTTGGTTAGTACAAATGGCATGACCAGTAACTCATAGTATCCGTACCTGGTTCGAAATGTTGTTTTAGAAATGTTTTCTGCTCTGATCTTTACCTGATGGTAACCTGAATGCATGTCTATATCTGAGAATACCTAGGCATCCTGCAACTGATCAAAAAGGTCATCGATCCTGGGTAAAAGGTACTTGTTCTTGATCGTGACCTTGTTCAGACCTCTGTAGTTAATACATAATCTCAATGTCCCATCTCTCTTTCTTACAAATGTGACTCCGGCACCCAAATGGGACATACTATGTCGGATGAACCCATTTTTTTGCAATTCATTGATATGTTTTCTTAGTTTTTCTATCTCAATACGACTCATGCGGTAAGGAGCAACCGAAATAGGCTGGGTGTCTAGCTAAAGGTATATGGTGAATTTGATTTTTCTATCCACTGGCAATCCATGTAGTTCATTCGAGAATACGTCTGAAAAGTCTCGGACTACTATAATCTCTTGAATATAAATTTCTTTCTCGGATTTACCTAGTTAGAGAAAATAGTCGAGTTAAAGTACTTGATAATAAGAAAATTTTTCATGAGGGAACAAATGTTAAAGAATTTTATTAATTTATAAATGATTCCTCATTAGGAATGTTGAATACAACCTTCTTGTAAAAACAATCTACGATGGCGTGATACGCCGTTAGCCAATTCATTCCTAAAATTACATTAAAGTCCCCTGTGTCAATTTCTATTATATCCACACTCAATTTCTTATATGCTATATCTATGACACAAGCTCTGTATATAACCTTCCTCGTAGTGTTATATTCCCAGTAATAGACACAAACAACACAGAATCAAGTTTTTAGACAATATATTTAATTTTGATGCAAAAATATATGAAACAAATGAATGCGAGACATCAGTATCAATCAAAATATGAGTAAGATGGCTATAGATAGTATACGTACTCTATACTACGTATGGGTTGGCTTTTGCATAATGTTAAGTGAGGTTGTAAACCTTGCCCTAGATAGGAGGTCTGGCCTGGTTCTGATTTCTCAGGCACTCCCTTGCATAATGTTGGGCGCTACCACATATGCGACAGATGTTATTGAAAATAGCAGGATCGGTCCCCATGATCCTTACCACAGTGCTAATATGTCCTACATCATCCTATTGCTGGAAGCTGAGGGGGAGCCTGAGCCATCGGCCTAGGTCTCTTGTTCTGTTGAATAAGTGCAGTAGGTGCTGGTTTGCGGTATGGGGCTAGATGGCCTGAGGTTCCCTATTGCTAGAGGAAAAATGCGAAGGTTCATCTCCACTAACTGTGTCTTGGCCAGAACAGCTGAGTACGTACTGAGCTTGAACACATACAACTACTGTCTGATCTCAGGACGGAGACCCCATTCGAACTTTTTTACCTTCCTG